ACCTGAAGAACATTTCAGGGATTATAGGACTAATGTCAAAGAAAAATATAGCGAAATCTATGTGTTTATCTTTAGTTCCAATGACAACAGTGTCTTCACATGTCTGCCTAAAACAAAATCACAGCTGCAGCCAATCCAGAACACAGATACTTAATAAAACTAGGAAAATAGAACAAATCAACCAATTTCTAAAGTCCTGACATTCGCTCTCTGTAGCTCAGGGAGTAGACTTTAAAAATACTTTTCAGTTTATAGATCACTCAACAACATAGCTCCAAAATACACCAAACACCAGCTGTTGTTGCATCAACTTTCCAGACTGCTCAGGTTTTTTTCTGCTAGCCTGCTTTGTATCCCCAAAAACAAACACAGATAGGAAGTATTCAGCTTCTATGCACCACAAATCTACAACAAACTTCCATAGTACTACAAAGAAGCTGAAACACTGAGCTGCTTTAAATCAAGAGTAAAAAAAATCCACCTGTTTAAAGTTCTCTTTGAATAACAGTAAAAGGATTCAACATAATTGACTTGTACTATTGATTTTGATTATTGCATTTTGACAAAATGTAATGTTTATTGCTTGTTTCACAATTGGTCACTGCATGATGTTTTTATAACACTGACAGGGTTGAAGTGGGTTGTAACATTTTATTTTTAGTGTTACACACAAGCACAACTAATGAGCTTGACTAGATGAGGCGGTTTTGAGCCATCTGAAAAAACAAACAAACAAAAAAAACAGGAGAGATTGAAAGTAACCGTCAAACACCAAACTGTAACCGAGACCAGGAGCTCTACAGCTGAATTGTACCAACTCATACAAAAGTGTCTTACTTGTCAATCATGAAGGGTGTACTGCTAAGAGCTCCTATTCCCAAGATTCCCATTATAATATAAATCCAGAGTCCCGGTGTACCTTCAACAAGAGAACATCCTCAGCTTTCCTTGAATGGAAAATATCTTTTCTTTAAATACTGTTATCTTACATTTATTACTACTTTTGAAGAGGAAAATCTTAGCTGATTTTATAACATAGAATGTTCTATGTTATAAAACACAATTTGAACTGATGCAATAGTTCTTCATTGTCACAATGAAATTACATGATGAAATGTACCCAGATTAACAGAGCTCTTAGGATATTGACGAGATGGCAAAGTCTTAAAACAATAATTTAAGTTTGTTTCCTAAATTAACCATTTATTCTGCTTAAAACTGTTATTTCAATATCTGTAAGGGTTAAGAAAAGGAAAACAAAAAGAGGAAGCAGAACTTACGTTCCACTATGAGACTGATCGGTGATGATTTCTGTTTACCCAGCTTATTTGCAGCTACACAGTAGTACTGATCACCCTGAGTGAATTTAACCTTGTGAAAGATGCCTGTAGCTACTTTAGTGAATTTTTTGCGGCCTTTCTTGAACCAGGTGATTGTGGGAGAAGGTTTGGCTTTGCTGGAGCAGCTCAGCTCCACCCAGCTATCTTCTGTCACGAAATCTGATGGACTGAAGGATGCTGAGGTGTCTTTAGGAGCATCTGATGAAAATGAGACACATGAACTTTATTGATCAGTAACAGATGAGCCATGACCTGCTGACAGGATCACTTACATGAAACATCGAGAGTTACTTCTGTCTTTACTACGTTGTCTTTTTCAGCTGCAGGATGTCTGGCAGAACATATGATGATGAATTCATCATGTTTGTAAGTCAGAGTGAAGGTCTTCTGGATTTTAGTTGTAAAGGTTCCATCTGTGTTCTTCTCTGTTTGTCTGAGAGAGTCTTTTTTGAGATTCCAGGTGAGTTCAGGTTGTGATTGTGGACAGGGAGTTGAAGCTGAGCAGGTTACAGTGACAGGCCGATGCTCCTTCAGATTACCAGTAGAGACATGAAGGCTGGGAGTAAAAGGAGCATCTGAAATTTCACATCAGACACACATTTTACCTATTTAATTAATGTCCTATGTGTGTAGCACAGATTTACACATGTAAAAAACATGATTGTTGTCTGTATAATAAATGCATTGGAAATATACATACACTGAACAAAAATATAAACACAACATTTTGTCTTTGTTCCCATTTTTCATGAGTCAAACAGAAAGATCTAAAACATTTTCAATATAACCATTTCTCTCAAACATTGTTCACTAACCTGTCTAAATCTGTGATAGTGAGCACTTTCCCTTTTAGTAAATTATCCCTCCCGCCTTGCAGGTGTGGCATCT